TAAGCCCTGTAAACCCTAAACCCTAAACCCTAAACCCTAAGCCCTATAAACCCTGAACCCTAAACCCTAAACCCTAAACCCCAAGCCCTATAAACCCTGAACCCTAAACCCTAAACCCTAAACCCAAGTAAAGAAGGTCATCGACTTGGCTGCAGGCCCTGCGTGGCGAGAGGCAGCCATGAGCCAACCAGGGCGACAGTCCTGGGCTGCTGTAATTCTGGGGCTTACTTAGGGATATTAGGATTTAGGGTTTAGGGTTTTGGGGATTAGGATTTAGGGTTTAGGGTTTAGGATTTAGAGATTTTTGGGTTCAGGGCTTTGAATTCAGGGCTTAGGGTTCAGGTTTTAAGTATATTGGCCCCAGACCTTGGGCGCGTGTCGTGTTTTCTGTTGGGAGAGGGGTGGGGCATGGCAGCCCTAGGATGTGAAGGAACTGAAAGGGGTTCCCTTTAAAGGGGTTTTGGGGTATTAGGTAGGGATGATATATGATATAGGGGTTGCAGAGGTCCTACTTACCATACTATAGGGAGTAGGCTTTAGGATTCAGGGCTTCGGGCTGAGGATTTAGGGTTTAGGCTTGCATTACCATAATGGAGAACCACGGGCAAAATGAAACGGAAAAATTGGAAACTAAGGTTATAAAGGGTTATACAAGGATTGAAAGCACTTGGTCTACCTTCCCATCATACAAGCTACAGTCAATATTTCCTACCCAATTTAGTGGACATCGGTTCCTTTTCCGGATCATATTAGGAACTATACTAAACTACAAGAGGGACCCCTAAGTCCATCATTAATGGAGCCTTGGTAAGGCTAGTATCGACAGTACCTCATATGAGCCTTAGTCTAAACTCCTAGTATCCCCATTAATAACCCCTATAATAGTCCCCTATATAATCCCCTTTGTAACCCCCTTTAAGGAGTTTAGATTATAGCTTATATGGATGTACAGTAAACTACGGCTTCCTCATCTTTGGAGCTTTTTCTACGCTCCTCAACGGCAACCTAGAATCTGGAAGCGTAGTACTCGCCAAAGTGCTGCAGGCGGTCCGCGTACAAGGTATACCTGAGCTAGGGTGGACGGATGCTATCTTCCATAGGGTTTGGGCTTAGGGATACCGAAAATTGGCACCCGGCATGCTTCAGGGTTTCCTCCGTCAACAAAACTTTTGTGCAGGCAACTTGGAGACTGCATAGCCAAACTTCCAGAGGGGGTTCGGGCTACGTTGCCTAGGTCTCTTGACAGATGGCCCCTCAACCGCAAACGCGAGAATGCCGTCTTTTTGGCCTCTGCGATCCAGGAACTGGAAGTCGGTATCCCACACGTAGTTGGACAGCCGCTGCAAACCCTGCTGCCAGAGCCAGAAAACTTTGACGGTCCAAATAACTACTTGGGGCTCACTCTGCTACCTGAAAGAGTAGCTTGGTGCCTAAATTGGCGGCTTTATGAGTACTTGGATCCTCATATACCTCCCCGACACGTGCAGTTCAGTTCGTCGTACCACAAGCCCCAAATCCTTTTTGCTTAGCTACTTGGACTTTCTGGGAAAGGCATCAGGATGTTTCTACAGCGCTACGGCTATGAACATTAGCACTAGCCACGGCTGGTTCTACCGGAGGTACTGCTAATATCAAAAAAGAGTGCTATGAATATCATGATGTACGCGTTCCTACTCGGGAAATCGATACCCATTGTCATGCACATTCTGTGTTCCCACCTTCTCCTCGCCCCCATCAAACTCTGCATCATGCAGAGGTTCCACAAGCTTTTCCGAGTATGGAAGATCCTCGGCAGCAGAACTTGGGGGCCCACTCTGCGTGTCAGCTGCCAATGCTGCAACAAGTGCTGAATTTAGCTTGCTGCTGGCATGTGTATGGCGTTTGCGCATAGCTGCTTCAGCAAAAGGTAGTGCCCAGCCCGCCCCCTGCTGTCACAAGACTGTGACACAGCCTCATAACTCATGCCTCTTAGATTTGATGCAGTTGATACTAGTTCTCGACATCTACACAGGCGGTCATCACAATTCTGGTACCTCTTTGGGATACTCGACGCATTAGTATTCTAGTGAGGAAGCACCAAGAGACCGCGCTTCTGACCGCCTACCATGTGGCAAGAGGGCCGCTAAAAATGATGCGACCAGTTGCTCGCCAAGTGGGCTGAAAGTCCAGATCGGGGACTTCCTGGCGTCTGTACATGTGAGGGGTCAGCATGAAACAGGGACTCCCAAGGCTCAAGTAGGCACATCCCCTGGTAGGGCACCATATATGTCAAATCATTTGCATTTCAGGAAGGCTTGCCGTACAGGATCCTGATCACCTTACCATACGTATCTGCTGATGGTTGGGATCGGGAACATCAAGGGGTGGGGCTACCCATTGTTCATGGGGTTGACCTAGAAAGTCGTTTATGAGACAGTGAGGGACTTTAAGCCATTGCACCTTACAGTAAGAGTGACCACAAGATACCACAAGAGGTAATACGAGCTACAGATATTATAGTATATTATGGGATATTGTTAATATATTAATGTGTATATATATATAGTGCATTTTGGTATATTCTAGTATACCAGACCCTGGATAGTACTGTGAGGGGTAATAACCCAAGACGGACTGAAGTTATGGGCCACAGGAAGGCCTGGCGTGCTTCATCCACCAGTTCCAAACCAAGGCCAAAAGGTTTAGCCTTCTGCCCTTATTAAATGCGGTTTAGGGTTTTAGGGTTTAGGGCCTCTTGCCTGAGATATGGACCTCTTGCACCATCAACTCTCGCCACAGTTCTAACTAACTCCAATCCTGCTCAGGAAAAAATAGCCAATGTCGTTCAGATCTGAATGAGTTTAGGGCTTAGGGTTCCAAAATAAGGTCCACCTCCATGAACTCCAAGATACTCCACTGCCTATCATGGGAGAAACGGGACCAACAGGTTTTAGAAAGCCCCATGCGCTCAAGAGCACTTTAGAGCATCGCGGCCTACAATAATGCTTCTTCTGAGTGAATTCACATTTGCGGTTTAGGGCTTATCAACTAGCATCTCATGCTACGGTATACGGACATTCTGAGGGGGCAGGCTGGAATTTTGCCTGAAAACAAATTTGCATGCCTAAACCCTAAACCCTGAACCTAAACCCTAAACCCTAAATCCTAAACCCCTAAACCCTAAACCCCTAAACCCTAAACCCTTGAGTTGCAACACAAACATGAGCCCCAACAGCTCAGGGGTGGATGGATCACTGCGTTAGTCACCATATGAGCTATAGTCTAAAGTCCTTAAAAGGGGGTTACATAGGGGATTATATAAGGGACTACTATAGGGCTTAGTTTAGACTGTAGCTCATATGCGGGATTTGGGTTTAGGGTCCCAAAACCATCCTATGACGTATGCCCGTTCCTTCCCGACAAAGCAGGAGGAAGTAGTTCTCCGATCCACTGTATGAAGCCGCCACACTGGACGCTAAATTCAAAATCGTAAACCTTAAATCCTGAAACCTAAGCCCGAAATCATAAACCCCAAGCCCTACACCCTGACTCCCAAGTGGCCCTAAGCTCCCAACCTTCATCCTCAACCTGCGACTTCCCGCATCCAAGCGTCGGCAAGCGGGAGGCTGCCAAAGGCCGGGTCTGGTAAGCAGGGGCGCACTAAGCGTGCCACCAGAGGAACATCCACCTTTCTGCATAAAGCAAACGTCGGAGAATGGGGTGGTCAACATAGAATAATTACCTCAGTATGTATAATTTGGGCACCAGAATGTTTACGGTTTAGAGAAGGGGCACAGCTAGGAGCAGTGACATCCATCACCATCATCAAATCCACTAACATTTACCAATGAAAGTAATGTGGAAATACAAGAAGAGTGATTAATCAGCATCTCCTGCACCATCAGCATAGCCATAATCTCAGTCTTCGTGGCATCATCAAGGCTGCCATCATCGTAGTCAACATCCTCACATCCATCATCAGCATCATCATGATCATCATCATCATCGACATGGTCGCCATAAACATTATGATCACTGCCAGCATCATCATCGCCTTCGTCATCATCGTCATACTGAATCATGCCCATGACGCGCAAGGAGTGGGCTGTGTCGACTTCATTTTTTTGTCACGAATGTACAGCTTGGAAGCCCAAGAGTCCCTGCCATTTCTTAGGTAACTCATACACGAGCGCAGAATCATGCCTGAACTGTCAATATTACTACCCGCAAGAAAAATGGAGAATCGAATGGCCAATGGAAGATGCAATGGAAACTGCATTACATAGTGGTTGAAGGCGTCATGTTCTGCTTCTTGTCCCTCTACACCCCTTACAACCCCCGAACGGAACCAGTGATGCTGGGCAGGCTTTTTATAATGGAGCATGAACAGACTTGTGCATGCGCTCAAGCGCTCGTACATTCATGCACCAACTGCCGACTTATAGTCCCTGTACTCGTAACTCAGACAAAAAAGGAGCCGTGTGAAAGAACTATGGAATCTCATGCACTGAGCAGATTACAGCGGATACGTGGCGTTCATGCTAAACCTGATCCCTAAAGCCCCCTACATCATCTCAGTGTCCATTTCATTGCCCATTCTCTTGCCCATCTGCTCTTGCATGTTGTACAGGATCCCTGATGTTGATCCAGTATCGGCATCGTCGCCTGCTTCGCGACATCCACTTCTCGGTCGCTCGAGTCTGCTGGGCGTGACCTCAAGTGCCGACTTGTCCACATTAAACTTTCACATGCTTACCTGGTAATGTGGGAACGGATGGATCTCCGTGATGGTCTGTGTCGACCCCATGTATGGTATATTATTCCCTGTAACAGTCTCCCTGAATCATATCCATCATTTCCAGCTACCATCAGCAGGTTGTCCCTTTCTTGGCTGAGACTCGTGTTGACCTTGCTCTTCCAGTGCTAAGGTGCTGGCCACACAGCCTTCACAAACTGGCTGAAGTACCTGCAGTCAGCCAGCTGAGACATCAGGAAGCGCCTGGCAGAACTGCTTTGCCAGTACGTAGGTACACTGACGGCCTCATGATGACCTTTGCTAAGTTGCGAGTGGATCCCTATAAGGTAATGCAGACCCACCAAAAGAAAGATTAGATGAAGCATGTTTTCGAACCAGGTATAGAATCTTCCTTTTAAACTACTACAAGCACAGGACAATACACTGCAAATCTGTATTGGGAACTGAGTGAACACTACTCACACGCTGCATCGCCAGAGGACTCTGGCATGTTGTCCAGCCCTGCTGTAGAGAAGCCGATGTCGTCCTGGGGGTGCGAGTTTCTCTCAGGGTCCCACGACCAAAATATTGGCAGGAAAAAGTGGAATAGGTCCGAAACACTTTAGTCTCATGGTTTTTGGCATCTAGAAACCTAATATTTGGGTCCTTGAACCCTATGTGGGATTTGTTCTGAGGCACAGACAAGAAGCGCACGTCATGGATCCAAATTGGTTCCGGCCAAGAATTGGTCATTTCCATTCCGGCGATGCTGGGTAGACTTTAGCAACCTCCAAACCCATGCGCAATTGATCTGAGTAGCGTTTTTTTGGTGAAGCCCAGTAAGATGATATTCCTTATATTAAATACTATACCCCCAAAGGAGGATTGAATCTTACTCCATATTGGGTACCATAGAATGGAACCTGAAAAAGAGCTCCTCCCAGGCTACTGTCCTTCTGAAAGCGGCTCCCTGTTCATGGAGTTCTTGTGAGTTGGGAGAGGTTAGGGCTTGGACCCCAACCTCAAATCAATCAGGTACCGGCCATGTCGTGAGTTTTTAGCAGCAGCTGACACACAAAACACCACGACCCAACACCCAAATCTCAAACCCGAGACCTCAGTATTTCGTGTATCCATCGCAGGTTCTCCCTTAGGATGGTCGGCGATGCAAGGACCAAGAAAGCAACCCAACTCTAAACCCTGCACCCTAAACCCTAAAACCTATACCAAGTCGCTCTGTGAAAGAGCGTTGATCCCCAGCAGTAGTGCCACTGGATCCTGGCTGCTGTTTCTAGCCCGGGCTTAAGGGTATCTTGCATGCGAAGCTGCCACAGCCTAAAGGTCCCAAATAATTGATCTAGGGTTTAGGGTTTAGGTTTAGGATTTGGGTTTAGGGTTTACGGTTTGAATACTTGTGGTTTGTAATGCAGACTGTACTGCATACATGCTGGGAAGTATAGCGTTCTGAGGTAGTTGAACGTTGAGGGACAGCTCAGAAAAAAAAGCAAGGCTCAGACGCAGAGGCAAGGCTAAGCATGTAGCAAGTAGTGCACAAGATATACTGGTTGGCACAAACAGAAGCTTCTCCATACCACATTTCTAACGCAAGGATCGTAACACACAGTAGACTATATGAGCTACAGTCTAAACTCCTTCAAGGGGATTATATATATATACACATATTATAGGGGAGTAATAAGGGGGATACTAGGAGTTTAGACTCTAGCTCATATCAGATCCACCTACTGGGTTCCTCCCGTGGTATTCAAAGCCCCAGAGAAAGAACAAAATGAAGTGGACCCAAGCAGGCCTTATAAAGGACAACTCAATTCCCTAAACCCTAAACCCTAAACCCAAACCCTAAACCCTAAACCCTAAGGTTTGTTAGTAGGGAATTTAGGAAGGGATCCCTACAGGCCCCATACAAGTTCCCTAGCGATCTTCCAGAATCATAATCTCTACATGCCATTCTGCCACCAGGAAAGATCCCAAAGGCCGAAAACAAAGTACTATCCAGAGACTTGGGGCCCACAGTAGGTATATGGCTTTGAGAATTATAGACTTAGATCCGCATGGTAAGCCTGCGAGAAGAAACTCCCAGAATCCGGCCTCTTATCCAAGGCTCGCCGCACCCGACCATCGATCGTGAGCTCTGCATAAGTGACTTCTTGCCTTTCAGCGTCTTTTTGCAGGTTTCGTCCCAGCATGTTCCCCTCCCTGGCTCAAGTCACATCTCAACTGTACCAAGCAATCCAAATGCTCAGATTGAATGCGTGGAGTTGGCTTTGGAGGGACCCCAACTTGCCGACGCTCAGTCCTCGGGCAACCCGAATGCCCGGAACTACAAGGATAAAGGGACTCTACTGGGAATCCCAAACCGGAAACCCTAAGAATATAGTAGGTATATAATAGGAATATACCTACCAGGGTCCTTATATTCCATTATATTCCTGCTTTATTCTTGGGGTTCCCTATTTGGGGTTCCCAGTAGAGTCCCTTTAAAGGACGCCTAGGAGCGCAGTCTGTCTGTCTCATGCCAGCTACCTCCCCGAGGCATGCCTTGCACTTTTGATGTGAACCAACAATGGGACCGTCAATGTTCTGGGTTGCTGTTAAGGAACTTAAATTAAGTTACTATATTGGGGAAACCCGATAAATTACTATATATACCCATTATGGTATCTTAATTCAAGTTCCTTAACAGCAACCCAGTATTTTGTACTGCTATCACATCAGGCATCATAGCAGTCGCACTCAGAAGTTGAGCTCAAGGCTTGTGCCTCCGTAATCTGGGTTGCTGTTTAAGGAATTTAATTCAAGCCACTGTATTGGAGAAAACCATGTCAGTTACTATAACTTAATTACAGGTCCTTAACAGCGGCCCAGTAATGGAAGACGTTTGAATTCAAGGTCTCTTGGGGAGGGCCCGCTGCAGGAAGCCCTGAAACATCCACATCTTCCTTGTGTTCGAGGCTTTTATGTTCACAGGAGCCAAAGCAAAAGGAATCCCAACAATAATGCTACCTACCTTACCTGTGTTCACAGGATTTTCCCCATACTAGAAATCTGAAGTCTTCCTGAGGATGGAATTTCTCGAAATAATCCCTATACAATACTTATAGTAGGGACCTCCAAAAACTGGTGATAATCCCAAGATACGCCTGTAGGGTCTCGAGGGACCGCGTTTTTTGAGAAAACCCAGGGGGGCTTTTGACTTGAGAGGCTTAGCCCCCGGCTGCGTCAAGACGTAGCCGTCACCTTTCCTCAGTCCCCGATCTATATAACCCCTTTAAGCAGTTTAGACCTAGACCCTAAACCCTACATAACCCTCTTTGAGGAATTTAGACCCTAAACCCTAGATACCCCAGCAAAAGGAGGGTTTGGGGTGTTTTGTTTAGGGTTGGGTTGCCCGCCAGTTGGGGCACATACGGACAAAGGGATAGAACAAGCAGATGGCATGTAATCTAACTTCAGGTAACCAAAAGTATTCAAAGAGAAGGCTCTTCTTTGGCAGCTGTAGAAAACATGGCATGCTCACCAATTAGGATCCCTACTTGAGGGTTCGGGGACTTAGTAGGTAGGTTAGAATTGCGGTTATGAGTCTCCTGATTGGGGCTGGTCTACTTAGAACCTTATTTAGAAACTACAGCCCTAAACCCTAAGCCGTAAACCCTAAACCTTAAATCCTAAAATCTAAATCCTAAACCCTAAACCCAAAACCCGAGTGGAGTAACACCTGCCCAGCTTCATGAGAGTGGGAAGGACCTTCTCCGGTCGGCCAACCTGGAATATATTATTTCCAGGAAGAAGATCCCTGTGTAAGTATTGTACTTTCCCCAAGCAAGGGGACCCGAACCTAGACCCCAATAACAATAATCCCTAGTATGGGGACCCCCAAGGCGGTATCCCTAATTTTGGGAAACCTCCATAGTTCTTGTGGGAGGAGGTATATACAGTAGGATTCTGATTCATGGTCCCCGAACGTGCACACCAAATGCGTGCTCTCACCAATACTCCTATGGAACCCCCGATGATTTGCCCTCACCAAGAACCAGAATTCAAGCCCTACCTCATATGTACTATTTGGGCACTTGGACGCGAAGACACAAGCTAGAGTCACCGGCATCTGCCACGCTGACTACGATTGGGAGCAGAGAGTATTACTGGGTTGCTACTAGGGAACTTAAATCAAGCTACCATAATGGGTATATATATGGTCTCCCCCATATTGTAACTTGAATTAGGCCCTCTAAGCCTCTATATTACCCTGGCTTTCATGTCATTTTCCATTGTCTTTTTAATTTGATTCTCCATTATCGCTAAATAACAGCAAACAGCAACCCAGATTATGCAGCAAAGCCGCGGCAGGTCTGCAAACCCTTTGTGGACAACACTCCGATGTGGCAATGTCATCAAATTGCACAGCTGAATCATTAGTAGTTTCCATTTCCTTTTACATCATCCCAATATAACCCCAACATAACCCCAACATAACCCCCATGTAACCCTACATTCCCAAAACTGTTTTTTACTAATTACTACTCCTAGGGATGCAAGTGTCCGCGACACCTCTTGCATCTTGTAAGACCAAAGCCAATAACAATGCTTCAAGTGCGTACTGTGATTTCCCTTCCAAGTCAATAGAACTATGGCTCAGAAGTACCCGTTTCGGCCTTGACGAGAAGGTCGGAACCGACGCGACGCAGCTGTCTCTTCAAAGCCCGCACTGACTGCAGCAGGAATAGTGCCCGAAGGACCCCTGACATGGAAGTCTCCATAGATTAGGAGTCGTCTTTTGAAGGTCCCAACATTGTGGCGATATGGGGTCCAGATTTGAGCTATAGTCTGAACTCCCAGTATCCCCCTTAATCCTATAGTACTCCACTAAAAAATCCCCAATGTAACGCCTCTTAAAGGAGTTTAGATTATAGCTCATCTGGGGAACCCTGCCCCACATCGGAAGCTGGAAAGTTTCCATTCGAAAACAAATTGGCTTTGATGCAAAGGTGGAGCCTGAGGACTCTCCCATGCACACTACAACATGGGAGTTTCTCACAACAGGAGCCCCTAGACACCCAAAGGGATAGATGGGGATTCTAAGAGGGAGTATGCGTTTATCGGGATTCTTAAGAAATTGTTTCGAGGAACCTCCACATCCCGATAACATGGATCTATCCATGGTTGCGTCAGCTCCCTGCCTGTTCTCAGCGTCTTGTATCGCGTGCGCTGGA